AGCCGCCACACGACCACTGTGATGCTGCTTTTAATCGTACTGCGGATTTCGTAGCCATCTACCTGCCCAAAATATCTAATAGTAGAAGAAGCAAGAGAATCTTAAGAGTCTGAATGAGGGTTTGTAATATAATGCTCCATTAACAAATAACATTACCATACGAATATTGCTTATCAATTTGAGGTTCGCAGCTTTACTCAACAACTGCTACTTTTTTTTCGGTATACATACTTATACATATTGTATACATACCGTATGTACTTTATTATTTTATTAAATTAAATTTTTGTTTTATTAACTCTTAAAATTATGAAAAATATGCTGTTTGTAGAAAAAAGAGATCATGAGAAATTTTCGGCATTTTGTGAGAATTTACAAAAGAAATTAATCTGATAACAGTATATTAAGAAGTGTTATTTAAATCCCAAATAAGAAAATATTACGCGAGTACTAATGCACTTCCGTTAAGTGTAAAGATTTTTTAAAATTTATACTATAAGTATTTTACGGAACCGAACAAGATTGCAGAGAATTCTGATTTATAACAGTTAGTTACTATTAACGTAAAATTTACGCAAATTTCAAGAAAATATCAATAAATTTCTTTTAAAAATTTATTAATTATTTTTTTCATTTATTCACTTAAAAAAATAACGAAAATGAAACAAGTAAAAACGTTTCAGTCGGTATGAACCGATTGAATTATACCCTGCACCTTTCATTGTTGTATAGCAATTACTCAAACCTGTGAAGTCATTCTATAGAAACTTCACGGATATGTCTGACCTATAATTGGACTTGTATGGGAGCCACTCGAACCTGTCAAGCAATTCCACCAAAACTTCAGAAATATCTTTGACCTATAATTGGACACACGACTGCCAAGTTTCATGAATCTGACTTTATTATTTTGCCGAATATAAAAAATTTGCTTTTGGAGTTGTATGGCAGCCACCCGAACCGGTGCAGCTACCCCATTATAATTTTTATAACATATGTAGAATATAATTGGACACATGTATACAAAATTTTATATTTGTACCTTTATTAGTTTTTGAAATAATTAAAATAAACTCTTTGAGTTGTATGGCAGCTACCCGAACCCGTTGTCCGAATTGGTCCAATAACAATAGGGTTCGTCCTTGGCACAAAAGAAGCAACTTGTGAAAGTTTGATGTCGATTGCATTATTCGTTTTTGAGTTATCGTGCGATCGGACGGGCGGACGGACGGACGGACGGACGGACGGACGGACGGACGGACGGACGGACGGACGGACATGTCTAAATCAACGCAGAATTTTACGCTGAGCAAGAATATATATATATGTCCATATCGCAGGTGACTCCTTCAAGTAGTTACAAACTCCATACCAAAGTTAATATACCCTTCACGAAGTGCAGGGTATAAAAAACAAAATATTCGAGTCTCATTTTAATTAATTAAAAAAAAAAATTAATTTTGTGGTATGAAAAAATGCCGGTTAGGAATGCAAAAATTTTCGTACAATTTGTGTACAAAAATCAAATAGATTTTTATTAAAAAAATTTAATAAAAAACAAAAAAAAAATTTAATTTTTTAACAATACTTTTTACTGTTGCTGTTTTTTTTTCTCTTTCTCTTTTTTTTTTTGATAATTTGACCTAAATTTTTTGAGCTTTTAATAATTCTGGAAACCGAAAGTGACAACAACAAAAATTTATTTGTGTTTTCTGGTTTTGTATTTGTTATTTTTTTTTGTTTTGTGATAAGGAACCCGTTGACGAAGAATATAAACATTAAAAAAAAAACCATATGTATAACAGTTTTAATTTTCCAAAACAGCACACAATATTATTCATGCATGTGTTTTTGTTTTTTAAATTTATAGAATTATTCATAACCTACATATGTAAGAATATCATGTTACTTATATATAGAGTATGAGTCCCGGTTTTTAATTATTGGCAGACAACAATATTGAACGAAATTGAAAAAACAGCAAAAAAAACAAAACAGTCATTGTTTATAAATAAATTAATTAATTAATATTGTGATAAGAGAAAAAAAAAATTTTTTAATTTATAAAATTTTGAAATTAGAAAAATATCACAGAAATCAATATACACACACACATAAGTACACGATATTGCAACTATATAGTAGGTATAATGAGTAATAATGCATAAAATACAAAAATACTTAAAAGTACACCTTCAGTATAGCAACAGTATAGGTATACAGTATCGAGTTCAGTGTACAAAGAGAAACAATTAATAAGAAGAATCACTCCACTTTTATGAATAATTATCACTGTTTTTTTGTTTTTTTTTTTTAATATGACGATGACTAATAATTTACAATGTGTTATGTAATGTTAAGAATCGCATTGTTATCGGTTCAAACTAAATTTAAACAAGTGTAATAAATTTATAAATTAAAATGCACCTTTGTTGCAGATCTACATTAAATATACTTCATACAATTGCACACACTTGAAAAATATTTTACAAAGAAAATTTTGTTCATTATTCTTATATTTTTTTTTCGTATGTAAGTATATATAAAATTTGCTTTTGCAAATTATTTGCATATTAATCATATTATTTTAATATGTATATAAATTAAAATAATAATGTATATAACAAATACTTAATTAATAATAAACCAGTCGTTAAAAATAATTCACCTTTTGTTTGTTTTAAAAGACAATGGCTGTCTTTGTTTTTTTATTTTTATTTTTGTAATCAAATTAAATTATTGAATAAATTGTATGAAGCTATATATATCATACATGTATGATTATACAAATATTATGTTTATGTGTATTAATATTGTATTTTAATATTTAATTAGTTTAATTAAATGTAATTATTTGTTAAAAACGATTTCGATTGAATTTCAAGAAAGCAGTAAATAGAAAAATGTTCTAGAATAATACTTTGTATTATTTAAATCAAACATTATCAAACTATATACGAAACTAATTCATACCACGACTAAACAAATATTAGTATTTATACAATAAAATGTTTTATTACGAACTCATGTACAGTTCAGGCAGACATGCAATTTTTAATTTTGCAATTAGTGCTTGATTGTAAAATGATTGTGCGCACATCTAGGTAACCAAATTATCGCGTCAATGCAAATCTATTGCGTTATTTGTATACGATCATACAGTTGAATATAAACGAATGGCATACAATAAAACCTGGCTTCTTATAGTGAGATTTTCAACAATTCAAGTATAAAGTAAGAATCACTTTTAATAATATGCAAGTAACACATTTGTTAGTTGCCTAACGAAAATTACTAGCACTGTCAAAGCCCTTTGTATAAAATCAAAAATTATCTTATAAAAAAGGAGAAGAAGTATAAAGTTAATTTTTCATAAAACAAAGAGTTCTTTCAATGAACCCTTTACAAAAAGAAAAACAAAACGATTAGATTTTTTATCATTTTGATAACAAAATTTTTATCGTTCAAATTTTTATAAATTTTTTCTTTTTAACTGAACATGTTTTTTCACTAATAAATCACTTTTAATATTTCGTAATGTCTACTTGTAATCAAACAACCGTATATTCGGTAAATTTTTTGTATTCTACTTCGTTTACTTTCATATACATAATTTCATGTAAATTGTACGAAAATTTGAACCCCTTACTTGACTCGTAAGAGTATGTCCCCCTTTATTTAATTCGATGTTAATAAATTAATTTGAATATTGTTTCAAATTGTTGATATTTTGGTTTGTTTCGCACCAAGTTTTATATTTTATTATTAATATATACATAATTCTAATTACGAGGAAACTCTTAATAATTCCTGTTAATTTCCAATGTCAATTTTACCGGTATTATGATTATATTACTGTATAACAGATTCAAATCAATATTTTATACAAATCAGGTAAAATAATGCAGTTGTTATACAAAAATTTGTCTTGCATAATATCAGCTGTTGTACAATTATATTTTTTGTATATCATACAAAATTTACTCAATATGATCAAACATACTATGTATTACTTTGTATATGATCTTAAACACTATATGTATGTACATACATATGCCTGATTTAATTTTTCATTTTTTAACTAGACATTTTAATTTCATTATTATTCAGTATTTTTTTTTTGTTGTTTCTTTTTTCATGAATATCAAAAAATTGTATCACTTATCATAAATTATAAATTGTGTGAGTACACGCATAAATCAAGTCACTGGCAATTTATATATGTATACATATACTATATTTTGTAATGTAAAATTGTTTACTTATACCAACTTATTTTTGTAAACTATGCAAAAGAAATGATTTTACTATTATAAATTATTAAATTAGTAATTAGAAATTATTATGATTTTGTATGATTTCAAACTTGTATGATTGCAATTATTACAATATTAAAGCGTTATATTTGTTCGAAATTTTTATATTGTGAATTTTTCGAATGTTTATGAAGAAATTAATATTCTCAAATTATTTAACAAATATAGCCTCATATTATTTATTTTTAATTAGAATTCACTTTTGAATAAAATTCATTCTTTCGATTGATTATGTATAAAACATTTAATAATTACGTATAACACATTTAATAAATCAAATTTATAATTAAGTGATTTTATATTGTGAATTGAAAAAATTAAAAAAAATTCGAATTTTTTTCCACCAATACCTACTTGTTTTATTCTTAAACACAAAATAATTTAATACAACATTTTGTTTGAAAGAGACGAACAAAAAATTACGATTTTGTTTGAAACTGTATGAACGTGACTTACTTCACGTTTCACAAAACATTTCACAATCTTTACAATTAATGTATAAAGGTTTTTTTTTTTTTTTTCAAATTGCTGAAACTATAAATTTTGCCGGTAAAATATTATGTTATTTATATCGTAGTGTAATTATAATAATTTTTATTATGATTATTATTATTTTATATTATAATATAAAAAAATAATATTATTTATGTATGTATATAATGTAAATATAAGATTAATACTTACTATTATAGCTAAATAACAACGATAATCATATGGTAATGGTCCATCACCTCTCATTATAAAACTTTGTGTACGAACAAAATGACCATAAAATGCTGGATGTAAATTAATTACTTGTGATACATGATCCAATTCAAATTCACCGGCCATCATGTATATTTCCCTAAGGCCACACTGAAAAAAAAAAAATGATGAAAAAATTAATAATTTAAAAAAAACAACATAATTATAATTTTTAAGAGGTAGAAAATTAAATTTTTAAATTAAAAAGTAGAGTTTTTTTTTGTGATTTTTTTTAACAACCTCCATATTTTTTTTATTCCTCTTTTCTTTATTATTATTTTTTTTTTTGTTCTTATTTTCCCTTATTTTTTTTTTCTCCTTATTTCTTTTATTTTTGATTCGATTTTTTTTCTATTCAGATTATCGTACGACTGACCAAGCGAACGAATGCGAAAATGAATTCAGCAATTAAATTAAAACAAAAAAATAGAAAAATAAGAAAAAAAAAACAACAATAACAAAAAAAATAAATAAATAAAAATATAAATTTTTTTTTTTTCTTCTTGTTTTTATATTTAATTTATTACTAATTTATATGTGAATGTATGTATGTAAAAATAATGTATGAAACACACAACAAACATACATTGTAATATTTATAAATAGAGTATATAAGCAAGTAGAAAGAAAACACATGTATGTATGTACGGACGTAACGGAATATTCGCGACACATAAATGAAAATTATTATTTAAATTTTAAATATTACTTTTGTTTTATTTATTTCTTTATTCTTATTATTAAAATTGTTATTGTTATAATTATTGCTGATATTTTTTTATTATTATTGTTTTTATTTTTGCCTTAATAGCAATTGCTGTTTTTATTAATTTTTTTTTATTATTGTTGTTCTTCTTGTTATTATGCTTGACTTGTTGTTTTTCCTGTTATAATTGTACACAATATATTGTTTGTGTAATTATTATTGTTGTTGTTGCTGCTGCTGATTGATTATTATTATTACTGTTGCTGTTGTTGTTTCTGTTATAAATGTGGTTTGCGCCTTTTTGCCTCTTTGTTCACAGCTTTAATATTTTTTTTTTCTTCTTTTACTTTTATTAATATTTTTTTTTTGTTTTGTTGTTTTGATTGTTTTTTCTTTACATCAAATCAACATAACAAGGAAAGAGAGAGACAGAGAGGGAGAGAGAGAGTGTTGTATTTATGAGATTATTACTCACACTAGTTTTTGACTTTTTAATTTTTTTTTTCTTGTTGTTGTTTTTATTTTTATTTATTATTATTATTTTTGTTTTATTTTTCACCGGGTGTTTTTTTGTTCCTGTTTTGTATATTGGAAAACTCAAAATATAATATGAATAAGCGTAACATGTATGTACATATGTATATGATGGATACTTGTATGTGCATGTTTGTATGTGTTATATACAAAATTTTGTAATTATGAAATTAAGATGCGTTAATGAGAAAATTTAGATCAAAAGAGCATAATTATGAGAGCAAACAATTCAATTTATTTTTCCTTAATTTTCAAGTGTTTTTTTTTAATTTTTGTTTTTATTTTGTTATTAATTTCAACTTAACAAGTTTTTGTTTTTTTTTCTTGTTTTGGTTTTTATTGTGTTATTATTGTTGTTAAGGAAGGTAATTGACCTTGAAATGCGATTTATTATTTTTTTTTTGTTTTTTGAAGATAAAAACAATGGTCATGCACTAATTTATTAATAAATTATGTGTAATTGCTAATTCCATACATACATACATATGAAATGCATATACATACATACATACATATATTTACTAAATTTGTTAGTACATGTGTATAATATATTTTTAAACAAATTAATTGGAAGTAATTTATTAATTTTGTTATTTTTAATTTACAGTACATTCTCCGAATTAAAAATTCTATATAATTATTGTATAAAGAACTTATTGAATTTTTTTTATAAAAAAAAAAATTATTTCAATTTAATTTAGCTTATTCTAATTATTATTAAATTATGAGCCACATAATAATAATGAAAATTTTTAAGTTTAAAAGTAAATGTCGGTAGGTACACTCATGCTTAATTACGTTCTCGTTTGTATAACAAAATCCTTTACTTTATATATAGAGAAAAATTAGATATAAATGAGCAAGATCAGACAACATTTACAGAAATAATTGAGTAACAAAAAAAAATTGATGCAACAATTGTCATGTCTAGGAAATTTTACTGTTTTGTAGGTAAACATAAATGTAAAGACCTGTATAGACTTCAACAAAAAAGTAAAATTGTATTGTATTGTTTTATACATTTAATTCTCGTATTGTTATAAATGTTGTATAATAATCGCTTCTAGTTACACTATAGTTCTAAATATCGTAAAATATACACGTGTACGTTATTTATAACATAAATTAAGTATAAGGAGTTATATTTTAGGAAATTATTGATAAATTGTATAATTTTATTTTTATGAGAGTGTTATAACGTATTGATTGCAAATACATTCATTAAAATTATAGCTATAGTCGTGTGTCTCGATGCCAAATTTATCATAAAATATTTATAATTATTAATAAATAGCCAAAAGATATGATTATACCTATATAGAATTTTTGTTTTTTTTTTTTTTATTTTTCAGAGATTTCGATTAGTCAGTAGGTTTTAGGTTATAATTTTCCTACTATTCATTTTTTTTCTTCAGCATATTTAATTTGTAATATTTGAGTTGAAATTAAGTGATTTTTTTTTTATTTTTCGAAATAATAATCAAAGGTACTTATGTACTTATATTATTACGTACTGATTTTATTATAGTAATTTTGAAAAATACAAGTCTTTTTTTTAGTTAGGTACCTATAGGTAATTAGATTATTATTTTGTTGTTATATTATAATTATAATTGTTAATATAATATAATAGTGTAATAAATAATAATTTCTCTTATATTTAGTATAATTATTTAATTATCAAATTTATAATATGTAAAATTTGTTGTCCATATTTTTTATTAATTAATTAGTTTATTATAATTATTTAATTTTGATTTTGTGTTTAATACAATTATTATTATTATTCACAATAGTAAATATTATATGAAGATAGAGAAAGGTTTAGGCAACAACAAACTAATAATTTTATTCAAATATCTGTACATATGTACATATGAATGTATTAAAATTTAGCATTTTACAGTTTTTCGCTCGGAACAATAAAAATAAAATTTTAAGTACATACGTGCATAATATTCTGTATGTATATTTTTTTAAAGCTTGCTGACGAAACATAATGTTCAAAACAATAACAAATAAAGCATTAATATTCAGATGCCACAAAACATCTGATGTCTTTGATAAAAGCTGACATTTATTTACGTTAAGATTATTTCGATTTTTCAAACCAAAAATATGTGAAGATCATTATATTTTCAAATATTATTTATTTCTTGGTTTGTGTTTCTAATTATATAAAGTATAAAAGAAAACCGTGATTTTGTTATACAAAAATTTTTTCAGAAAATCTTAAAATAGAGTTATTTCGGGGCTAAAAAGTTCCAATGTCAGATTTTTCTGAGTCCCTAGTGGCAAAACCCTATCTAATGCCTTTTATCCCATGTCTCTAGCCCTTCTAGATGTACCCGTACTTTTTGACACCCGAGAAGAAACTATATATATATAATAGTAAAAAAAAAAACTATTCTACTTAATTCAGAAATAGTAATTAAACATCTTATTATTACTTTTCAAAGTGTTTGCAACAAAATATTTTTAAATTGAGCTTAATATATCACAGACAATTTTCTTGTATAATACAAAGTAAACATTATTAAAATAAAATTTCTAAACAAAAACTTTTGTTTAAATAAAATTATCATAATTTTTTATTTTCTATTGCATTCAAACAATTACACATACTCGTATTATGGTATAGAATTTCTATATATTTATTAAAACCCATTTAATTAAGAATCTTTAAAAAAATTACTTTAAGAAAACAATTTTTTTAAGTGAGTTGTTAAAGTAAAAAAAAAATCAATTCAAATTACATCCCTTGCGGGGATCGAACCCGCGACCTTTGGATTAGAAGTCCAACGCGCTATCCTCTGCGCCAAAGGGACATTTTAAAATTATTGATATTTCTTTATTTCAATATTGTTATACTTATTCTTAATTTTAAAACAAGTTTTTTTTTAAACAAATTAATGCTATCAATTTGAAAAAAAAAAATAATAAATTATATACATGTTTGTATATATATACATATGTGTACATGTGTATGTTCTTAACCACTAATTTTTTTCATAGTTTCCAAAACTTTAAACATTTTCTTAATTAATATTATTCGATTTTAAATTTTTTAACCCATATAGTACCAACGTTCATTATAAAAATCTTTTATTAATTGTTAGAAAAAAATTATATTTAATCGCCTGGCAATGCATTCAAACCGCTCTTTAGGGAGTTATATTACGAGTAAATAATTGTTCGTAATATAAAACCCTAAAGAGTGTTGAAATCGATTTAGCCGACCTTAAGATACAAGCCCCCATACATAGATAGACAGACAAACAAGTGGTCAGAGAGACAGTGTAAGGTCTCTCTTTGTTTACGCTTTCCTGCTATAGAGAAATGCTTTGCCAGCGAAAACTCGGCATCCGAAATTTGGTGCTATCAGAAAATCTCCCTTATTGTATGCAATATGATCGGTTAATATGATTTCGTAACCTTGATTTCGATTTGAATCGAATTTCCCCCCTTTTTTTTTATAATATGGATTTACGATATTATTTGTTATATAAGCAAATTCGTTATATTTGATTCAACTGCTAAAGGGTTAATATTAAGATAATCTTTAGAAGTAGAATATTTCAGGTATACATAATAATACATATTATGTGTATAGTATGTTAGTATATAGTTCAACATTAAAGACAAATTCTGATACAATATTGAACATATGTTACTAAGTTACTGACATTCTCCCAAGTATACACATACATATATTAAATGAAAATAGAAAAAAAGTTATCATAATAAAGTAAGTAGAAAATAAAATATTATTTTTTTCTTGTTTTGTATTACTTTAAGCTTAACATATGATATATATATATATCAGAACGTATATATATATATGCATATATACGTTCTGATATTCTTATCG